TGGCCAAGGTCCACCCACTAATGCTCTGACGTAGTGTGGCAGTAACCAATAGCGCAAATAACCCGTACGACCCTATGCATTCTTGATTCGTGACTTCATTGCCAAGTGTAGCCCAGCCCCGCTCTGAATTGACATGAGATACTCATTACCAGTTAGCCTCGCCGATGTCAGCCTTGGTGATGGTCGTTTCGTGGCTGAAGGTGCATGGGCTGGTTGTGGTCGCACAGAATTGCAGCTACCATGATCGAGTGGCATCTCTAGCAACGAAGAGTTGTCGTCATTACTGCCATTACTGTCGAGGCTCTCTACGTCGCTTCGCACCTCCCACTCGCCAAGGATGTCCTTGTCCATCGCTCTCGCGGAAGCTTGAATGTAGGAAAATGATGAAAACCTCTACCGACGTTATAACGCACACACATGCTGATTTGACACGCTTATCGATGGCTGCGGTAGAGGTCCGAAAGGACCTGTTGCTGACTGCAGTGCAGTCAACCTAGCCCACTAAGCCGTATAATACCCAATCAAAATTTGTTCTATGTTTCAGTACAAGTCTTTGAGGACCTATACGAAAGCTCGGAGCTAAAGGGTTAATGCGGCCTTGGCCTTCTATTCCTGCTCGGCGCAGTTTGTTCGAGGCCTTCTGACCTTAGAGGCCGACCCATTCAGTCGGATTTCTGCATTTGACGATTGGGTGGGGGCAACTCGAGCAGAGAAGGACGACCGAGTCCCCATCGCTGTCAGGTGACTTAGATCCAGTACGTCCTCCCATTATCGCTGCCCCAATTCTGAGATGCATTGCCACCAACAGAACCACCACCTGCACCTGGCTCGTCGTCAGCATCGTGCTTCTTTTGTCGTTCTTGTCTTTGTTCGTAGTAACCGCTTCCGCATTGTCGTGGCGCATGAAATGCCTTCAGGGGTCAAACTGACACATTTCGCTTTGAAACGCTGCATTTGAAAACCGCAATAGGTCTCCTTGGATCCTGCCAAATGATCGCTAAGCCCACCTATATAGTTCTTTTTCGCTGAGAGGGCGTTCCCAGTCTTTGGTCTCTGTCTTGAAGACATTCACTACGAATGGGGTCGCAAAGCCTTTAGTGCAAATTCGACTCTAGCCAAAGTATCTAAAAATTCAACAAAGTAAGAGTGGTCTGTCAGATACCTAGGTCATGCTCCAATAACCTGAGCAAAACCTGGGAAAACTTGGGAAAAACCTGGGCGCGGAGAATGGAATGACAAACGCACTACATATGGGCTTCTTGAAGGCCATCGCGTACCGGCACGGAAGCTTCATGGTTCGAGCAAACTCGCAATCGCAACCCCATCCAAGCTTTTGCCACAGATGCTCCCTCCATTTGCTTCGACATCTCACCAATGTTTCGCGATCCTCAAAAGTGTATCAATCGTGGTTTTGCGTTAGTCGCCGCCACTAGGTATTGACCCTCAATTGCCGAAGCGACCCAGCGAGCAGTCGTTCCTAACCCTATATTCATATCCTCCAATTAGCTCATATCTCGTAATGCACCAGACAACTCAACACTCCTCATCCATGCGACTTGCATCGACAAAAGTGCATCAAGAGAGCTGTGCATCGTAATGTGGGACATGATGTTCTGTTTGATTTTTCCAAACAAGCTCTCGACTCGATTGTTCGTGTGCTTGTTAAAATGTGGCCGATCAACACGCTGCAACATTACCCACGTGTTGGCGCATGATTCCCAGTTTTCCACGAATAGTCCCATAATGAAGAGCCCCCGTCACGACACGACACGGTCCAGAACGCTTCCCGGCTGAGATTGTAATCCTCTTCAGACCTCACATAAGTCATTTTCGTGATTAGGTGTTTCAACTGAGCTGCAACTTCAGGTGCGTATGACCCATACTTTCCACAGCGCACAAATTCATGTAGCCATTTAATCACGTGGAAGTGACATAATAGCACGCGTGCATCAGGGAGCTTGGGTCTTATCACATGCAACTCACGTAAGTCGTTATCCACGATCATGATCCAAACTGACCGCCAAAGATTGTTCGCTCTTAAAGTGATCAAGGCACTTAGCCTTATGCCAGTCGGACGTCGTCTCAAGCAAAAAATACTGCCCTGGTTGGACGTGTCCAAATTGATCCATTGCCACAAGTGATAATAACGGATAGATGTACCCGCAATAAAAAACCCTGGTCAATAACTGGCTCCTAAACGGACCGTATCTGGCATTTTGGCGCCACAAGGTATATAACTCACCTTTTTATCTTGTGGGTGCAGTCCATCAGCAACACCTTAGGGAAGTTGCCGAACATCGCACACATGTAAGCCGTAGCCACTGATATCACATCAGAATCCCCTCGAGCACTCTGCACCACAATAGACGCGTTCTTCGGGTTCTTCATTTGGATTTGACCACTGTCTTCGTCATTGCGTCGTCATCCGAAAGTGTGCTTCCTGCAAAAATAATAGACACATTCAGTTAAGCCTACATATCTTTTGATCAGACAATATATGCTTTACCAGACTGACGAACGCGCGCCACCAAGTTACTAACATTATCCATTGTCACGCGATGATCCGGATTCTGCCTGATGTAGTCCTAAATACTTGAATTCCCAGCCTCTTACTCCACCAACGGCTCAATGCCGTGCATAAGCGGAGATCAGGACGATGCCTGGCGAATACCTGTACGACATATAAGTGGCGATAGTGACGGGGTGATTGTGCCGATACACCTCGCGCTTCAGCGTAATGTCCCATTGCCCCTTGGCCCGCATTATGTGCACCATAAATTGGAACAGACAGGCAGCTTGCCGTAACTTATACACCTTCCGCTTGCCCTTGGATCTTACTCGCTCGACCAACCATGAGTACAAATGTATTTCTGCTGAAATGGGTTCATTTCTTGGGATCTGGCTTTGGGGAGTCCTTAGCGCCGCATCTGCTTACGCAAGTCCTGGTTGCGCTGCTTGACGCCTCCTGTTTCACTCACAACTAGCACTTGCTTCGTAGTACGCATGTAGACCTGTACGCACTCCTCAAATAGCCCCCAGGTCCTATGACCACTCTGGAACGAGGAGGCCGTAACTCCGTCGATTTCTTCATCGTCTTTGTCTCCGCCGTCAGGCTAGGGCCTCTTCTTCCTACCAGAGTGTTTCCGTGCACCACCTTGGCTCTCCTCCGACGCGCTATCCTTCTCGCCCTCCTAGTCTTCACGATCTTCCCCCACCTCGTTTTAACGACCCTCCGTCTTCTCAGTGTGCTGGATATCTGTTGTGGCCTCGTGGGGATCCGATTCGATACCAGAAAGCTCATCCTCCTCCTTGCGCGCGATCTTCATCGCGCTATACTTTCCGCTCGAGTTGGGCCTCCTCAACGCGTGCCCTACGTACGGCCTCTGCGGTACGGGCATGGTCTTCCTCACGAGCTTGGTCGGCCATTTGACGCTTGATTCGGGTCGTCTTGTGCGTGCGCGCCATGGCCTTGCGTTCTCCCGATCCACCGCGTGTCAGTTCTGCGATTGAGTGGCTGGGTGCTAAAATAAATTAATATAAATACCGGGAAGAAAACTAAAATTCAAACCTGGGAAACAACTGGATGCCACAACCGAAAAAAAGTAGTTCAAATACCTGGGCTCAAAGCTTCCTCAAAAACAATTAACGACATTCCCGAATAATACCCTGTACCCGGATAGTACCCTCCCCACCTAACCGCTTAATAACCGTAACCTATTGATAACCCTGAATAACTAAAACGTAACCCAATGTTCATCCATTCCTTTGGAGGCACACCACCAACCGTTTGGACAGCGTGAATCTCTTTCAGTCTCTTTTCAGCATTGTCTCATTCTCAAAGGTGACATCAAAAGTTCCTCTTAGCAATTGGCGCAAGCTGGAAGTCCTCTAGTGAAATGACCAACGCGGCGAGCAAGTCACCACACGGGCCATCTAGTACTGTTGTGCCAAGGGATGGAAGCTGAGCGGTGGCAGCGTGCGGCAGTGGTGTCACGATCGCGAGAAGATTCTCGCTGCCGAGCCAGGAAGACTTCGGGTGCCAGGAGGTGCACGTCAGCCTCTTTCTGCTGCTATAGATGAGTCATTGTACAACGAAGTCATGGTGAAGAGACCCAAGAAGCAAAGGTGACACGTGAATGGATTGGCCACATGGCGGAGTCATCTTCGCTTGCCAAAAAGTCTACAGCATGCGCCCTAGCGGTTTTGCTGCATCCGCTCATTGGATCACAAGGTTATGCGACTCTGAGCTATCGTTGTGCTGGTGTATGAACTTGATGACCCTCCCCAATGACGTGCTACTTACCCGCGCGATTTGGTACATGAAGTATCTCCAAAGCGCTATGCCTGCCATGGGACTTGGACCACACTGTTCTAATGCATGAAGCGGTAAAAAAAAAAGTGGTCAAGTTGTCGATTGCTTTTTGAGACTTCCATCGATGAAAATTACCGCGGTTTTTGCAGTGTCAGCAGCACGATGAACGCTCCCGCCTCACCTGATTTGGAATATGGAATCTACACGCAATTTTGACAAAATTGGTGATGTGAATGTAGCGCTGCCTTGTGCCTGGGTTGACATCAACTTGCTGAAGCACTGGATCGACCAGTTTTAGTTTATGGTTGAATCAAGCAAGGTGAATTATGGTGATGTGCCGTTCAAAGAAATGAGAAGATGTAACAGAATGAGTGGCACTATTTCGGATTTGTAACGTGGTTGGCCTGGATGTGAGAATGTTGCACAGATTGGGTCAGAGAGTGATGGATCTAGACGAAGGGCGCAGCGATTAAACTCAGGGTGGCGGCGTCGACCCAGATCGTTGCCTGAATAACATGGATCAAGGTATAACGAGGAGAGAACTGGCAAACCCGAGATATCGCACTGGTAAGTCGCAATAGAGGGTATATGAGGATGGACTTTGAAAATATCGAGCTTGGACGGCTAGATCAGGGTGATTGGGTGGAGGATCACGAGATTGGAGGTTACGATTACATGGTGGCTTTCGACCAGAGCCAAGAGTCTCTGATCCGATCGTTGTGGAATGGGATCTTATCGATCCAGGAGTCTGACATCGCAGATCCTGCGCTCTCGAGTATGCGCGAGCGGAAGTCGGACAGTGAGACCTAGATTAGAATGATCTACATGTGGAAGATCATGATGAAGGCCTGGGAACGCTAGATCAAGACCGATCCTACCTCAACACGCTCCGGGTGGCCAAGATCGTCGGGATCCGAAATGGATGTGTTGCGACCTGGAGAGATCTACTGCGAATCAGACATGATCCTGTGGATCTCGGACGATGACACCAGTTGGATGATCATGATGAAGGTTTGTAGAAACTGGATCAAGACGGATCCTGCCTCGACGTACCCGAAGTGATCAAGGTTGTCAGGATCTGGAATATATGTGTCGTGATCGGGACAGACCCTCCACGACCCAGACATAAAACGGGGACTATTCTGCAGATCAACCATGCTCCGGTGACAAAACAGCTGGACGACCAAGATCAACAAGGAAGAGCAGGTAAATAGCTGAAGATATGAGATCTAGGGTTGTGATGGTAGAGACAGTTGGTGTATAGAACCTAACAATAAATCAGACTCGAATTTATATTGTGTTACGCAAGTGCTTTCCTGCCCTTAAAGATCCGGAACGACATTGACCGTACCAAGCTCTGTGAAGGTTGGGGTTCGCAGATCCAGTGTGGTTGTGATACTTGGATGGAATTTTGGCCAGATCATACCACCTAAGGAACGTTTCTTTACAAGTGCAGATCGAGGAGGTTAACCGGATTTACTCTTTGGCCGGGAATACCAATCGACTCTCAATTATGAAGATCCCGCTACATGATGCGCCAAACATAATGAAAAGGAAATTCAAGGAACACATCCACAAGACTACCTACGGTCAAGATCCCAGATCAAGACCACCAGATCCTACTCTCTCGAAGTACTCGCTTGTGATCTGTACACTACCTCAGACGTAGTGTGAAGATCTTCCACTTCTACCCCATCCAATCATCGCGTCTCGCCAAAACATTTAAGCTTCACCCATTTAAACTTCTCTGTAGTTACCAGAGGTGCAAGATCCTGCCCTACCGACGGCTATACAAGGAAGCCAAGTTCAGCCGATCACGGATCAACAGGGGACCCCCTCTGTTAGTCGGTGTTTGGGTATTGTTGGGGAAGTTGAATCCAGCAATCTCGCAGATTTTGCCGACCCCGACACGCCACAGAACATCTGCTGTGGGATTGAATGCGTGTGCACATCCCAAAGAAGGTTAAGGCCAAGTGCGCTGCTAGAGACGGAAAATGTGCGTTATTCCTGGCGGTCTCACTCCCTACTTGTAGGCTGGACATATAGGCATATACAAGTCTTTCAAGGATGTACTCTACATGGAGATTAATACGCAAAAGGACAGTGACAAGGTCGAGTACACACAGGTTGATAACCCGCGTATGCCATCGGTAGGTATAGTCTGTCAGTGGATTAAACGCGTGGCGTGACATGATATCAGTACAACGAAAAACTCTGTTGCTGCCGCAGGGTTCGCCGATAATTGGATGGATTGGCACTTTGCACGCCACGATCTCTATGGAGAGCAGTTCCGTGCAATCTGGGAAGTCCGAGGTGAAAGCCATGAAGAACACGACGGCTTCAACCTTGACGAGCTCCAAGATAGTCTAGATGACATCGCTTTAATCGGCGAGTAAGACGCAATGAAGTGTAACCTTTTCTAAGTACAGAGGGCCTTTTTTTTGCTAATCGAACAGGGTACTTTTAGTAGTACCCTGGGTATTGCTCCGAAATATCCGTTACTACACCTTTGCCCGTCCAAACTGAGAATAATCTCAAGCAAAGCGGACAACACGTTTTTGTTTATTGCAATTTTCTTCTTACGTGATTAAAAGCACCAATGAATCCGAGAATAATCTCATTCAAAAAGAGACGATCTACTGACCTAGATACCGTAAACCATGTCGTTCATCTTCTCCGCCGCATTCACCGCATCGCGACAGTGCAACTCCATATTCGTCACCAACGTGGGGGTGATGCACTTGATACTCGCTTCAGCCGCCTTCTCCAAGAAGCGCATGGTACGCTCCTTAATTGTCAACGGGGTGCCGTCATCATCCGCCATGTTGCTTCAATCACAAATCTCCTCGCGATACAAAGCAAGATACGCCTTG